GCGAGACGGCTGCAGGCGGTGGGCAGAGCGGGCCCCGGCGTGGACAACGTCGACGTGGAGGCCGCCACCAGGAAGGGTGTCCTGGTCATGAAGTAAGAGCACGGGAGCACAGGGACACCCCTGCCTGCGCTCCTGGGGAGACGGGGGAGGCTTCAGCGGGGTGCCCTCACCACCCACGGCATGGCACCCCCCTGCGGGTCTCCTTCCTCACGGGGTGCAGGCCCCCATCAGCCCAGGGGGACGCGCACCAGTGACACCCCTCTCCATCCCCAGCACACCCACTGGGAACAGCCTCAGCGCCGCTGAGCTCACCTGCGGGATGATCCTGTGCTTGGCCAGGTGAGCACAGGGCGGGAGGGGGGGACGGATGTGTGTCCCAAGGCCCCCAGCCCCCGTGCTGACCACAGCCTCCCCTTCCAGGCAGATCCCGCAGGCAGCTGCCTCCATGAAGGAGGGCAAGTGGGACCGTAAGAAGGTAGGAGGCGGGCGCAGCACCCCGGGCAGAATGGGGTGGCAGGTGCCCGTGTGGGGTGCGCTCGGTCACTCTCCACTTTGCACCCTAGTACATGGGCATGGAGCTCAACGGGAAGACGCTGGGCGTGCTGGGGCTGGGTCGCATCGGCAGGGAGGTGGCCACCCGCATGCAGGCTTTTGGCATGAAGGTAAGGAGCCAAGGCAGGGAGGAACGATGGGGAGCAATGGGGAGCATGGGCTCCCCCGGCCTGGCTGTGAGCACAGTCCCAGGCTGCAGGAGTGAGCGCCCGCTCTGCCTCAGACCATAGGCTATGACCCCATCATCACCCCCGAAGCCTCGGCCACCTTTGGCGTGGAGCAGCTGCCGCTGGAGCAGATCTGGCCCCGCTGCGACTTCATCACGGTGCACACGCCGCTGCTGCCCTCCACCATGGGTACGGGGCGGGCAGTGGCACGGGGGGTTTTGGGAGGAGCTGGGGCAGCCCCCCACCTCTGAACAGCGTTCCCTCCCTCTGCAGGGCTCCTGAACGACAGCACCTTCGCCAAATGCCGCCGTGGTGTGCAGGTGGTGAACTGTGCCCGCGGCGGCATCGTGGATGAGGGTGCGCTGCTGCGAGCACTGCGGTCAGGGCAGTGTGGCGGGGCCGCCCTCGACGTCTTCACGCAGGTGAGTGGGACTGCAGGGACCCCCTGAGCTTGGTTTTGGCTCAGCACCACCTTAACTCTGCCCAAGCTGGGCCAGGGCAGCCCAGCAAACCCCAAGGAGCCAGGGACAGCCCTCCCCAGCTCCCCTCCTTGCAAGGAAAGAGGGTGTAAATGCGCCCCCCGGGCTCCCAGGTGGGTGCTGGGGGCTGATGGTGGGATGGGGCTGTGTTGGCAGGAGCCCCCGAAGGACCGTGACCTGGTGAACCATCCCAACGTCATCTGCTGCCCGCACCTGGGCGCCAGCACACAGGAGGCGCAGAGCCGCTGCGGCAAGGAGATCGCCATGCAGATCGTGGACATGGCCACAGGGAAGGGGCTGGCTGGCACAGTGAGTCCCCCCGCCGGGCATCTCACCCCTGTGCCTCAGTTTCCCTGTCTGCAAAGTGTGGGTGCATTGGGAGTGATCCTGCGTGCTCGCTGGTGGGTTCCCATCACACGTCCTGCTCTTCCTCACAGGTCAACGGGCAGGCTCTCAGCAAGGCTTTCGCACCCCAGACAAAGCCCTGGATCACCCTGGCAAGGGCCCTGGGCACGGTGCTGCGCACGGTGGGCAAGCAAGCGCAGGGCAGCGTGCAGGTCTGCACCCTAGGTGAGCCAGGCAGGCTGCGCCCCATGCCAGGGCATGGGGACCCTGATGGGTGGGCAGCACACAGGGGTGCGTGGGGACCCACTGGGCTGGGCGGATGGGAGGAGGAAGGGGTGCGCAGCCGGGTGGGGGGATGGATGGGAGGGTGGTTGGATGGTGGGGTGGGATGATGGGGAGGATGGTGAGAGGATGGGGCTGCAGGGGGACAGATGGGGATACGGATGGGTGCATGGACGGGAGGGAGGATGGGAGTAGGGATGGGTGGGTGGAAGGGACCAGCCCCAGGCTGGCTGCTTCAACATGTGGTTGACCTCTCTGCTGCCGGCCCATCCACTCCCTGCCTCCTCCCTGCACCCAGGGACACCCCTGCAGGAGGCCGGGAGCTACCTGACACCCGCCGTGGCTGCGGGCATGCCGGCCG